TTATTTTTATTATTATTATTATTACTATTACTATTACTATTATTATTATTATTATTATTATTATTATTAACAATAACTTGGGACTCAATCTTAGGGAATTTTGATTGAGTCTCAGTGGTCACACTGGAAAGAAGTCTCTCAGGAGTGTGGAATGGAACAGCAGGCCCGTAGGCAGGATTTTCGATGCGGAACCAAGCGGACCTTGCTAGGAGGGGTGGGGGCACACACAAGGACCTCCGTGGAAGAAGTGGGGGACGAACCACGGAAGCTCCTACAAATTATCATTTTGAGCGCCTTATAAATGTATATTCTATTCCATACTAACCTGAGAGATTTGAAATGCGTTTGTGACTACACCAGTTGGGCAGAGGCGCGTGGTCCCGGCGCCATAAACCCCGCCGCACCGACGATCTGAAAACGATTTCAGGAAGAGTGTTTGTTGACAATACCGGATACATGGTCTAAGCAAAAATATTTTCAATAAAGCCATGTACAATTTGAGTTTGAATGTAGGGCATTCGCCTATGTTTTTTGAGCACCCGAACTTGTAGAGACACAAACATTCATTACTGATTAATTTTTATTTATTTCATTTCATCAGACCAACAGCGAATCATCGCCACTAACAGGCTGGTAAAATATATAAAATTTAAATACAGTATATCAAATATATAGACGAAAGAGTACAAAAATCTCACCTATTCAAATGATTAATAATAATAGAACGAAATATAGAAAAACTATTATGAAAAATTTCACTGATTAGAGGTTAAAATAAGAGAATTATATTGAAGAGAAAGTCTAGAAATAAAACTACGTTTACAGGCATCAACTCTACAAAAGGGGACATTAAAGGTAGGACAGGAACGAAGACTTCTAGAATTAACATGCAAACCAAACAGATGAACAAGATCACAACTAAAGTACGAGTTAACACATTTATAGAGAAAAACCATATCGTGAAATAAAAATCTATTCCCAGGACACATTAATTTACAAGGACGATTAAAACATTTTTCAAAAAACCTAATAAACTTAAGATACATCCTATCGATGCGAATTAACTGAGATTCGGATGCTGAACTAAAAATAACACAGCAATATTCAAAATGAGAAGTAACTAAATAACGATATAAGGCAATAATGGCACCAGGGCTATTTATTTCTCTACAATGTCTCCAAATGAACCCAAGCATTCTGTTTCCCTTACTAATAAGATGATCAATATGTTTAGAAAATGTAAGCTTACAGTCGATGAAGACACCCAGATCGCGATGAACAGAAACTTTTTCTAAGACAATATCCCCAATTTTATAAGGAAAATATAAAGGTTTTAATTTAAGAGAAACAGACATTGATTTACATTTGGAGACATTGAGAGAAAGACCCCAGTGCCGACTCCATGCAACGACAGCATCAAGATCTTCCTGAAGACCCCTGGCATCACTCTCAGTCCCAGATCATCAGCGTACATAAGGCAATGTGAGTTGTTGACAAAATAAGGAAGATCATTAATGAATAAATTAAAAAATAAAGGACCAAGGATAGACCCTTGGGGGACGCCAGATGGGACGGGTTTGGATTTAGAACAAAAACCGTCAATAACCACACGTTGACTGCGATTAGACAAATAATAAGAAATTAAGCTAAGAAGGGGACCGGTGATACCAAATTTTTGAATTTTAAAAATAAGTTGAGAATGGGAAATGCAGTCAAAAGCTTTGGAAAAATCTGTGAATATAATGTCACATTGTAATTTAGAGTTAATTGCATTAAGTGCGGTGGGTAAAAAACTAGCAAGATTAGTTTGAGTTGACCTACCTGGAATAAACCCGTGTTGAAATGAACTTAAAACAGGAGAAACATGGGGAAAAATTTGATCAAAAAGAATACGTTCAAATATTTTAGAAAGAGATGGGAGCAGTGAAATGGGACGGTAATTGGTAATCTCATTACGGGAACCCTCCTTGAAAATGGGACAAATATTAGCTTGTTTCCAGACATCAGGAAATTTGCCTGTGGAAAGAGATAAATCAAATATTTTTTTTAAGGGAACAGAAAGCGGAACAGAACCAGCTTTAAGCAAACGGTTACTGATACCATCACAGCCAACGGCCTTATGTACACAAAGCTTACTTAGATGACCTGAAACTGCATCAGCACTGACGGTTACCGAGGAAAGATAGTCCAAGGGGTACACAGGAAGATCAGGGGCTGCTTATTATTATTATTATTGT